CAGGGGGCCATGAATCACATTGACAGAGCTGAGGGTTAACGAACGCAAAATCATTTTACTACTGTTACGGAGTCTCTGGTCATCGTTGATACTCCTCGCCTATCAACAGGCACCCCTCTGAGGATTCAGCGTGATTTTTCAAATGGCCCATAAACAAAAAACGGCTCTCTTTGTTGCTGGACCAGCGAAAATTTTTCTTTTAACTCGTTAGTGTTAATGGCATAAACTCGAACGATAAAGCGTGAGGGCAGAGTTTGCAGTTTCGCGTTATTCGTTAGTATAATGAAGCAAGTGCCTATGATTTTTAGAAGAGCATCTGTTTTAAAACGACCGACGCTGTGTTGTCGTTTATAGAAATCTGGCTGAATGTTTACAGAAAACTGAGCTAGGTGATTTGCTGATTTCAAAACATCTAATTATAGTAACACCTGCTTATACGCCAAAACGGATATTTCGAAATCCATTCAGCGATTTTCTTGTCAGAGAGCCACATGGATCATCGTTTGCCAAATTTATTTTTTCATAAATTTATCGTTAGTCCTTAGAATGGCCCATATTTTTTGGCTAGACGTCTGACGTCAATTAAAAACTACCACCTACTTCTGTCTAGAACTAAAATGTGGTTGAATCAACTTAGAATGGAAACTTAACGCTTCCTTATTATTTTCTTATATACCTCAATATCTTCCACATACTACGGGTATTTTACTGCACGATTTAAATTAAACACGTATCATGCTTCAGTAGGCAACTGAAACATTTTCGATTTTCTACAGACTTCCAAATCTTACGCGAATATGCGAGAGGAAATTACTGCATGAATGGACGGGGGTTTTACCGCGTCCCCTCATGTCTCCATTTTGTCCTTGCAGGTAACTGCAAATTTTTATTTGTGAATACAACAGAAATCACAAACCAAGGCGTTTTGCTTGTGCAATTGTCTCAACGTGATGATCACATGTAAACTATGTGTATTTCGCAAGGTTCTGTTTGTTCGTTTTGTACCAAACTATTTCTCAACAGGCTTCAAACCAATCTTCATAGGTCCTTGAAATTTGCATATGGATAGCCTTTTTGCTTTCAGTGTAATTATGTCTACAATTGAGGTTATTATGCCTGATAAAATACGAGGTGCCGTTGTCGGTTCTGAACTGCGCTATGCGGCAGTGCAGTCACTCTTCTGCTGACATTTCCGCATTTTCGCCGTTAGGCCAACTTCATATTCTTTACCTTTCGTCACATGGCCTGAACGCAGCAACGTAGGCGATCTGATCCTCACAACAGTTGCTGCAGTTTGCCTCCGTTTTACAGCTTGAGAAACCAGCTATAACTAAAAACGTCACTGTTCGATTTTCGTGCGTCTGCCAACTTACAGGAGGGTAGTGGAGCAAAAGCAACTTCCGATCAGGGTAAGATTACCGTCCTCGATTCTTGAAGCTCGAATATCACGGAGTTTTCGGAGTTCGTTTCACTTGTCGCTCAGAGGTAACAGGTGGCACTCTTGCGTCGGCGACTTTTCCAGAAAAAGATTATAAACGTAAACGTTTGTGTAAAATCTTGTGCGGTTGCTTTTTGACTCGTCGTGAAACAAACGGACCAACTAACCGCCGAGAGAAGTGCAACCGTGTAGCCGCAGTCCATCAAATTGCAGTGGTAAATCATATCGGTCGGTCGCTTCAAACTCCGAAGACGGACCGACTTTATCGATGCCTGACAAATGGCTAAAGTTGCTACATTCTTCTTTGCTACCTTTAATTAATCATAGTACTCTTGTTATGTAAAAGTACCTCAATTTTTTAATCGTGACTAACTTTGTCACAGAAGGCAGAGCAGATCCATCTATTCTCCTCATCTTCCATCCTCAGCATAGGCCTCGGAATGGATCGTGATATTAACCGAGAATTGTCGTTAATGGTAACATTAATTTTAGCTTTTCTGTCCAAACATCTGCTGTAGTGGGGCATGAGAATGTTTCATTCTTTTTTTACCGATGATGAAAGGTCAGTAGTCAGTACATAGCGAAGAATCCTTTGCCGTTGCTCTCTTCTCTTCACTACTCGTTTCATGCCGCCAATTTATCCTATTTACTTTAGCTTCCTTTGGTGTCCTTTTTTACTGTGCCATACATACTCCGTTTGGTTCTTCTCACACGGCTATGCCGTCTCAATCGGTGTCCTTTTATCTCGTCGATTATTGCATGATCCAAGATCAACCCTTTCCTGATCAAATATTCAGCCTGGAGATATTTTTGAATTTTTATAAGGTTATAATTTCCATTACGAACCGCAGGTGCTATTTAAGCAATAGCGTATATTAATATGGCTTAACTAATCTTCATAAATCAGTACCTTTATTTTTATGCATGTTCTTGCCTTCAAAATCTTATTTAAATGCTCCATTCTACGAAACGCAGTGCAACCCTCAGGTGATTGTCAACGATTCTTTGTTAGCCAACCATACGGGGACTCAAATTTTGATACCTCTTCAGCTGTTGTTTCTTATTGAGTAGTTTTATATTTTTCTACTTCTGCAGGTGTCATAAACTAGATTCTTCCCACATTTAACTCTAACATCATTTGTAATTAAGTCCTTCGTGTGGTTTTAGCAAGAAGGATCTCAACCTCAATACCTCATAAAAAAAACTTGGGTCAAGCCTACTTTGAAAGTAGACTCTGATGGTTCGGCCATGTAAAGAGAAGATTAGAGAAGTACGTTTCAAATTCCAAACAATGATGCTGCTAGGAAAAGGAATACCATAGAAAAAACGACGCAATGTCATGGAACTGCGAGAAGTAGCCGTTATGCCCAGCGATCAAAGAGTGTGGAGGCAAATAGTTCACTGTTAAACGGAATTTTAATCTCTCTTGCCAGCCAGATTTTCGAAATTGTGTTTTGTATTTTTTCAAAGGCTGTTCGTCGTCGATGAATGTGAAACTCGTAAATTGGTGGTTCCTTGTTGCAGAATTTCCCTTGGCCGATATATAAACAGTCCTGAACGTCTTCAAACCTAAGTCTGTTCAACAGGTTGCACTGTCAAGTATTAATTGAACACTACTTTGATCTTCTTAGGTAAAGGTTTAGTTCTGCGATGAAGAGGATGTCGCAGAGATCTTGGAAACATCTTTGAAATTTTCCTCTGGTTCTTGTTAGGATTAAAACATGTTCGACAGCATGCAGATGGGGCTTGATTAGTGTCCATTGATTGACAGTTTTTTGAAAACTTCTTCCGGTGCTTCTGTGAATAACTTCGTGACATTACATCATCCCGTCAGACGTCTTTTCCGACTTTGGAGTTTCTGGTGTTTTCGCGAAACCTTACACTAACTGTTGCACATTTGTAAATCAAGGAGATGAGGGCTGTCTATGTACGTACTTGCGGATCGAGGCATATCGGTTGCTAATCGATCATGCTATTGTTTGTCCCAATAAACTAATGCGGTGTTGCGCTCATGCACTGCGGCTACTAAAATATCATCTAGCAGTGGCCTGCGTAAATGGTCCCCTAGGTTACTGGAGGTGAAAAGACGGTGTGCCTGCGCAATGGGAATTCGAATGTGACCGGAGATTTCTCTCTGTGTTTTCCCGTCTGCCTGGTACCTCAGGGCACTCATACTGGTCGGCTTGACTGAGTTGCAAATACTCTCTATACTGTCCACCCTCAGCCTGAGTGAAAGCTGATGTTTTCTGTTTATTTGAGTCACTTAATGCACCACCTGAAAGTGATCGATGGTGGAAAGTGCACTTCCGAATCCAGCTTCTTGTTTTATCTTCGCAGAATCCTGTTTTTCTTGAATTTCCGCACCTTCGCGAAAATCTTACAGATTAAGTAACGACAGATTGGTCGGCTAGTAGTTTTTCAACTCCTATTCATATTTTTTTCTATCCAATAGAATTGCCGATGTGGTAGTTTACTTATCTGGAATTATTATTTCCTTCAAACAGCGTGAAAATGAGCCTGCTACTCTCCTAGTCAGTTATTCACTTCCTGCTTCGATCAATTCTACAGGCATGCTGTCTTGGTCACTAGCCCTCTCTCGTACTCGGTCTTATTCTATGTCGTTCTTCTTCCTCTAAGCCATCTGGAATTCGTGCTAACTTCCTTCGTTTCTTCGGGCTCGCTCTCATCACAATCAAAATGTTGCAGTTTTATCTTCTAGCAGATTCTATGGAAATTCTAGGCTCGCTTTCGGATCTTTAGGAATTCGTTCCTATCTCTGATGACGGTACCATCTTCTGATTCGGCAGATTTTAGACCATATCGTTCATTCATTGAGTTGTCTTTCGCTAACAGTACTGTCAATCACCCTCGATCGCTTGCGTGATATGAGCAAAGTTGCACTAGGATAACTTGTGACGTCTCGAAACCTTGTTGCATTCAAATCGAAATTGACTAGTTTCTTTTTTACAATTCCTTTTGTCTATTTCTTCAAGTTTCTTTGCGTTATCGACACTAGTTCAGTGTTGAACTGGCTTAGATTATTATTACTTTTACATAGACCACAATCCACTCTATTATTGTCCTTGTGCGTTCTCTATTATTGTTCTGACAGTCATTTGGAGTCCGCTTTATTCTGTGCCCACTTTGAACATTTCCCCTTTACATTGGATGTGAATATAAACACGAATTTCTTGCTCAACTGGTTATTGTTATGAGAGCAACACTTTTTGATGCATAGACATAACGCAAACATGCCATCATAATGGCATGTTCTAGAAAATCTATGCTGAATATCGATGGTTCACAAACCACTTGATTCGTTGATTCGCTGAAGGCAAACGGCCCTGTTGTTTATGTGCTGCTCAATAATGCACGTTTGATTTAAAAATCGCTAGTCCTGCCTGTGCGTTTCCGATCCGAGTGGGAGTATAAAAGAGAAGACAGGTTT